TGATATTAGAGGGAACAGAAAATGTGTGAATAGAACACATATCGTATACACACAGAACATATTCATTGATTCAAAAAGGGGGGAGGGAACTACAATTTAAAATAATTTATCTTTTTTCTGTCTAAAAAAATGTTTTAAAATTTGGATCTCTCTCATTATCGTTTTATAAAATAATATAACCTTAAAACACCCTGTATTACAAGATTGTATCCCCCCGTTATATAAGAAGCACACACACACACACATACATACATATATATATATATATATATGTATATATATATATATATATATAATTAAATTTGAAAATTTGTTTGAGTTACAAAGGTAACAAATCTATTCGAATAGTGTTATTAGATTTGTTGAAATCATTATCTGATTATGGATTATCCTAGTCTATTATTCATCTTTTATAAAAGAACTAGGAATCCTCATTGTCCTTTACTGAGAAATATTGTAAATTCTCCTTAAAGATGATGAACCTACAAAATGATCATGAATTGTTACGGAGCTTTAAATTTTCCACTCACATATACACTTGTTGAAGATAAAGAGCATCTATTAATAATTGATTCCCCAACTGAAATCAGATAGCAAATTCAAGAGTACTTCTTAATATCTTTTAAGCATTTAAAGTAGCTTTTACATTCATTTTAAGTTGTTTTAATAATGATGGCATAAATAGGCATACAAATTTATTTTAATTTGCTTTGATTCTCTGTGACAAATGTTTAATTACACGCATAATAGAGCCTTATTACGTTCTTATGTAAAAACTGTATATATACACATATACAATCTAAAGTCCATAGTTAGTTACAATACCATAATAACAATATAGTGCGAGTAAATAAATCCTATATTTAAAAGAAATTACAAAATTAGAATTCTGAAGTTCCAACACAAGATTAATACTGTATTTTATCACAGTAATTATGTAAGTAGTAAAATGAACGCTTTCTATTTTCATCTCTTCAAAGTATTAGAAATCATGCTTAGATTATTAATATTTTCAAAGAATAATTTTAATTTATTTTGCCAAAAATAATCCAAAGTCATCAAAAATAATATTAAATTAGTTTCAGCTAAGCTAACACATATGATAAAATACAAAGAGGGCAATTTTTACTAAGTAAAAAGTTGTTTAATGTCTTAGCAGTGAATATACCTAGTGTAGGGTTCTTAAGGAACCTATTTTAATAATCACACACTTTATAAACTTTTCAGGGTTGCAGCAAAATAATATAATCATAACATATCTAGTTTTTTTTAAATAACTTTAGCAATAATTCTTCTGAAGTACCGTCGTGGAAATAATTCATAATTTCATAACCTTGTTTCTAGTTTAATATTCAAGTCCAAAGCCATCATCGTCAGATAACATTTCTCTCTTATTTCAGGTGCAGATTAAAAGCACATTATACGTCTCATAAAAATTATTTTCACCGGGCTACTTTTTTGAAAGCTTGAACTTTTCCTTCCTACGATGGGAAAAAATGTTCTATTAACCGCTCCTCAGATGATATCTCGATTAAAATTACTGAACATTCCAAGAAATAATTCTAATCGTTGTTGTGTAACTCATATAAAATTTCTTGGAAGGGGAAAAAAATGAAATATTATTTCTGATGCATGAAGTGCAGAAATTTTTTAAAAGATTCTAATCATGCTAAAATATATGGCAATCGATAAAAACTTTACAGGGTTTAAAATATGCAAGCGTTTAATACCAGGAAAGTTTAGCGGGTGGCCCAACTTGACTACCTGTTAAATTTCAATTAGAGTCAGGTGTGCTTTCTACTTATTTATTCAAGTATAATCATTAATCACAAAAGTAGATTTAAATATTTCTCATAATTTATAAGTTAAGAGTTGTATTTTTACAGCGAAAAATTACAATTCACTGTTCACGTGTCAAGAAAATTGAACAATTTTTATGAAGCAATGTGAGATATTTATTAATATGAGAAATAATGTTATGTTATCTACACTTCGAAGGCGTTCTTTTTCCTACTGCACAATGATCTAGCATTTCTATTGCATAGAACTCTAGAGTTAATTCTACTTTTAGAGAACAGAAATATTCTAAGTAAATAATTCACAAAGTCCCAATCAATAATGCTATTTTCACTAACAATTCTTCTAAAACATTAGTTTCAGCTAGACACTTGCCCCTTGCGCTTCTTTGCTAGAGATTTAATCCATTAATATGCGATAAGTTACATTCCCCCATTTCTTAAGTACAAAAATATATAAGGCTTTTTTTAAGTATATCTTTCTTTTCTTCTTTTATCGGAAAAAAGGTGTGACTTTATTTGCAACGATGTATAATTTTCTTCAAATTTTGTAGACTTGTTTTAAGAGAATTTCTTCACCCAGCATTGAAAAACAGTTTCAAATTGGGAAACTTTTTAACAGGCTGAAAAATACCTTTATATCAACGTAATTTTATTTATATGACAATCAATAGAAAACAAAATCTTTTAAATGCAGAAATTAATAATTACGCAGTCTAACTTTAAAAAAATTCTTTCTTTTTTAAAATTTTTTTTATTTTAAAGGCTAAAAGTAGATATTTGATTTTTATTACTTGAGGAAAAATAGATTATTTTAAACAGAAATTTAAAGAAAAAAATATGATAATAGTCTGGGAATCGATTAAATATTCCTATCAAATTCTTATTGATTTCATATTAGATCAAAGGAATGTAGATCATGTTTTTTATTCAGCAAATTTCGTATTAGACCAGAGGAATGTAGATCATGTTCTTAAACAGCAAGGGAAAAAAAGCCTTAAAAATGCATAGAACTATCAGAAGAAAAAATAGCTAATAAAGAAGAAAGATATAACTATATTCATTAGATAAAAGAGTTTGACTTATAACGGTAGAAAAATTTTAAGTAATATCCCCCAGATTGGGAAAATTATTTATCTTTTAAGATGCTCATTTGTATTCAGCAGCTTTTTTTGCAACAGATGAAGACTAAGACTATATTACATTAGACAGAAATATAATTTTTGTGTTTTAGATGTTTATCTGTTAGGTAAAAAGTTTCAAGGACTTGCAAGCATTCTTTTTTAGAGTAATGCTTTAACTTAATGTTGTGTTTGAAATTCTTTGAAGGGAAAAAGTAACCCAAATTTCCATATTGCTCTCAGAGTTTTCCAAGTTAATGCTGAAATTACTGAATGATATAAAAGTATTCGTTAGCTGTTAAAGGTGTTGATGAAATTAGCTTAAACATTCTTTCTTCATTCTATCAAAACGTATGTATGCTATTTTAACAATATCCAAAAGTTGGTAAACAATTTTTTTTCGTTATATTTTATTATATGAAAAGAAAAGGTATTTTACGATAATTTTACTGATTAATAAAAGTAAAAAATAACTTGTTATGTTGCATGGATTATTATTATAAACATGTAAAAAAGTCTACGTAGAGTGGAAAATTTAAAAAATGAATGAATTTTATCAAAAAAATTTAAATTGTAAATTTCACTTTTAAGGTATCTGACTACGTTCGGAACCGTGATTTTAAAAAAGCGTATAAATGGATAATTTTCGTCATATTTAGTGTCACTTATATTAGAATACATGTATAAAATTGTTTTAAGGACATTTTGACAAAAAATTTTATTTAAGTACAATATTTTGGCAAAAAATTAACTTAGAATAACTTTTTTCCAAAATGTTCTCCTTTAATAAAAAATGCTTCTAAATTATAATTATATTTTGCTTATATAAAGTAAAGACTTCTCCAGAGAGTCTGAACTATTTTTTTTACAAAATTCAAATTATTTTGAGAGTTACTACCAAATGAAATAATTATCGGCGTTTTTTACTTAAAATTTCTCCCCTCTCTAATCGTAAAACATGGAAAAACCCACTTCTAAGTTATATATTTCAAAAATTCTAGTTCAGCCTCTGTACAGAGGTTTGAGCTATATACAGGTAAAATATTATTATAATATAAGCATTTTTCCCAAAGGGAGAATATTTTGAAAATGTGAAATTTTATGTTCATTTTTTGTCAAAATATTGTACTTAAATAATTTTTTATTGTATTACTATTCTTAAAACAATTTTATATACATTTTCTAATCTAAGTGACACTAAATATCATAAATATTATCCATTTATACGCCTTTGCAAAATCACGGTTCCGAACGTAGTCGGATACCTTAAATCATGATACAGTTATTGTTTCCCAAGAGGATTCTTCCATTTTTAACAGAGTAAGAACTATCATTCTACGTTCGTAAACCATTTAAAAATATAATTTTACTTGATTATTTTAATACAAATGTAAGCAATTTGTAGCCTTTCAATTATGTACAAGGAATTTTATACTAAATATGCTTATAATTCGTAACTTAATGCTTTTAAATTTGTTATCAATTCAATCAAAGAAGAAGCTGTTTTTGTCATTTGGATGTCTTTTTCGCTTAAAGTAAACTGCATATTTGGGTTTCGCTTATATAATAGTCATTCTGAGCATCTAAGAGTATAACTTTATTGTGCAATGCAACATTTTGTTAGAAATTTGCTAGGCTAATCGCGCGTATATGTTTTTAACTAACACACATTCATTCACCATTTTTCAAATTTTTCATGTTTAGTACTGTTTTTAAATTTTGGAACGATAACTTTGTCTTAATTAAGGTACTTAGTAGCTCAACTTAATCAAACATTTTTATAAGAAATATGTATTTATCTGATAACTTTTGATCAAACGATGCGTTCGTTGAACGATGGAATCTTGTTCAATTCCTGCTATTAGTTCTCTCTCTCTCTCAAATTTTCAATCGTTTATAAAATATTTTCTATTCATCCATTCAAGTTCAAATGCATGTTTTAAAACTTGTAGTGGATGACACTTGATGTTAATTCAGTTTTTTCTATTATTAATTCATTCATTAAATTTAAAAATGAATAAATATTTACAAATTAAAAAAAAATTGTCCAACAGCATATCTTGAAAGGAAAATTATTCGTTGTGTCTCTGTAAAGCAATGGATAGCGCGTTGGAGTTAATCCAAAGGTCGTGGGTTCGAATTCCACCTGGGATAGCCTAATTTCTAAGAACGTGATTTATTTTTTTACTATACTATTTTATTGGACTAATTAAATTTAATTAATGAATAAATAGTACCAAACAAACAAAAATAATCTAACACACTATATAGAAAGGAAAATGAAAAATTGCAAGGAAAATGGCTTCCTATTTTGTCACTTAACAATGTGATTCTGTCATATGTATATACATATTTCTATCATTTGTAACTATTTAATAAAAAGTTACTAAAATAAAAAATTTCTTTGCTAACTTAAGTAGGAATTGACTTAATTTTCTTTTATATATTGCTTGTACGTTATTACTTTTTTATTATTTGAGAAAATGGTGTTTCTTGAAATTTTGTTCAAAGAATTCAATATGCATTAAATTTGGGTAATTTTTTTTTCTAAAACTGAATTTTAGATATAAAACTATGAAATAAGAAAATACTTCGGGCTTTATACGTTTATTTTAGAAGTTCTCATTAATTAAGCATTGACTACTTTGACTTTTTACTTTCTTTGATATCTGTTACTAACGCCACTCTTAAATGTATCGACATTTTATATCAAGTAAAATACGACTCTACGAAATAATCACAAGTCGTATTGTATTTCTCAATTTCTAAAAGCTTATTCTGATGGAAACAAAACGAAATAAAAGGACATAAAATTTTCTTCAACAGCTACTGTAACCTTCTGTTTTGTAAATCGAAATTGACACCCGAAAACAAACGTGCGATATGAAAATCTTAAAAAGTCATAACCACGGTATCAGAATATTTTGGACTGGCAATTGCTGGCAGGCAAACGTGCTCAGAACGTTGGCCGATAAAAGTTTATGATTGCCGAAGATTTCTTTTCAGAAGTGAGGGTATATAAAAGGCGTAATTTACAACCTGCCATTTGAACACTGCTATAAAAATCTATCAAATTCTCATTTCTAAAGGTGACATCAAACACCGACAATGGTGATATCGAAGTAATCCATGGTGACGAGAAAAAATATATATAAAAATAAATAGATAACGCTTTTCGCGAAAAGGCAATCTGTGGTGATGCAGTGAGATTTCTCAGAATAAGCAGGAAGAATAGAATGACCTTTTGTGTGACAATTTGACTATGTTCGTCGTTTGGGGACAAAAGCGTAATCAAAACATTCAGTTCTGAAATGTACTGTTTTCATCAATGAAAAAGAGCTAGATATCCTTTCTAATTACTTAAGGTATCCGACTACTTGCAACAACTTTTTTTTAAAAAAAATGAAAATATGGGGATTTTTCTGTGCTTTTTAGATTTATTTAGAACATTTTAAGAAATATATGCTAATATTAAGAAGAGAAAAAGAAATTATTACTACTAAAATGGGAAAAAATGGGTAAAAATTGACAAAAAATAACATAAACGGGGCTCATTCTGTACAAAAAGTTTATGAACATTTTTTTAATTTTAAAGTGTTGCTTTGCTTTTCATTTTTAAAATGACCTTCAGGATAGGAGATATTTTAATTTTTACAAAAACTAGAACCCTTTATCTTAGTTATTCTATGAAATTGTTTAAAAAGACAGTGATTATGTTCCCATAAGGGACTGTAAATTTTGTAACAAAACAGCGATTGATAAATCTGATGGTTAAAACACTTCTACTATTATACAGAATATACACAAAATTTTTTAGTTAATTAAAGTTAGCTAATTAAGTTTTTAAAACTTTTTGAGCAATCGCTATCTTTGTTTGAACATTTAAAAGAAAAACACTTTTCGAGTAAAACGCATTTTAAAGTATAGCATCTTGCTTAAAGTAGTGGCAACTGCTTTAACTAAAGCACTTGTAGCTTTTGCTCTAGTAAATAGAAAACAATAAACTTGGTATTTTTATAAAGTTTATAATATGGCCGATAAAATAAAATCATTTAAAAAATTACCAATTTTTGGCAAAATTCACAATTTTAGGGTACTCGGATACCTTAAAAAGCAGCATATTAATACTTTTTATTTTAAGCTTTTATGGTGTTATTTAACGTTGATCTATTTTTATTGATTTCTTCAAATATTTTTATAGGCATTTGGTAGAATAACATGGAATTACGATGACTGAAATAAGGAAACACTACAAAAAGGCATATTTTTAGTAAATGAAAAGCACTTTAAAAAACAACAACAGAAGATCCAATATGATAAAATTCTCTTTATTCTATATTGAGAACTTTCTATACTCAATATACTCTTGAACACATAAATATAAAGCTTCTTCTATAATTTTTTTAATAAAAGGAAAATCATTTGTCTTAAAACAAACTCTATAAAGTTCTTTATTTCTGATACAAAACAAATTAAATTTTTTTAGTAATAACTCAGATAATTAAAGATGCACTTGAAGCTATAAAATAGGTACTGAATTACACATTTTGATGAAATGGCTCTCTAACCCGTACATTTTTAATCTTATAAATGCTATCAATACACTAATTTAAAAAAGTAATTTTCACAATTTGCAAGCAAGAAAAAGTAATTCTCATTAAACACATTGAAATGCACGTTTGACTCATGAGAGAATTTTACTTCGTTACAATTATGTTCATAGAAAACAAGAGTAAATATTGAAATCATTCATACATAACACTTGCACCGTTGTAAGATATATCAGTGGCCTATACAAATTTCTTTAATGGGAGGGGTTTACATTTTTAAAATAAGTAGACGGAAGCACCGAGGTATAATCTTTGTGCTAAAAATTAAAACTCTTAGTAATATAATGAAGATAAACCCCCATATATATATTATCAGTGGCGCACTCAGAAATTTTTCAAGGGGTTGATTGATTGAATATTAACGTCGCACTGTTCAGCTACACGAGGGCTTTTGGCGACGCACCACGTAATTTTGAACCATGGTCAAGTGACGTGGACGACACCTGAGCTGGCACCCCCCTCTCCTAACTACCACACCACACCAAGGGGAGGACGTTTCAGCTCTCGACAGATTTAACGTGCATCGCTGCCCTACACGGCGGGTCTTTAGTGGTACTGGGATCGAACTCGTGACCAGGCAAGCCACGATCTGATACCTATACCACTCGGTTATCGCGGCCACAATTTTTCAAGGGGAGTGGAGGTTGAGGTTTTTTTTTCTTTCTTTGAACGACTCCCATATTATATTCCAATACACCACCCACCATATTATCTTGATTTTGTATATTGTTGGGAACAAAAAGTAGTAAAAAATAAATTATTGAACAAATACTTTTCATTAATTAACAAAGTAAAATATTAATAACAAATATTTAATTAAATGTATTAATTACGTACTATATACATAGGACTATAATCGTTTCGGACCCATGCCCCTCCCTCCCCTCTTGTTCTCCACTAACGTGTATATATAATACAAAAAAATTATAAATAAGCTTTAGTTAGTTAGCAATCAGTCACGAATGATATAATAAGAAAAAGATAACAATAAGACTTAATTTGACGTTATGCTGGATATGGTGATGACGTCAGATTCAATACTTTTTTTTATTTTTCTTGATCATTATACCAAAAATAGAATAACTGATATCAATTCCTCTTGTCAATTTAATTGCATCTTCCTTTATAAAAAAATCAAGACGTTGATGTTATATAAGTAAAACCGTCTATCGTCATCTGGAGTTAAATGATTTTTTCATTGTAATAGTAGGCTGCCCAAACATGGATTTTATTTCTCTGTAGCAGTTAAAGTGATTAAATCCTATAAAATCATAATAAGCCACCTGCTTCTTGAGTCTGGAAATTTCTGTTAAAGCTCGTTTAAGTGATAATGATTAAGGAAAAATAGAGTTGAATGTGTAAATTAATTGGAATAATTATAATAATAATATAATTAAAAATTGTAGGAATTTTAGAATTTGTTGTGTGTGTGTTTTCAATACACGTTTGTTTTCTTTTATATTCACTCACAGCAAACTTCATTATAAATTTCTGCCATTTATAATCCTTTCGATTTCTTTAAAACTCTGAAAACGAACATAAACGAAGAAGAATTGAGTGAGTGAGTGAATAGTAACGTCGCACTGTTCAGCTACTCGAAGGCTTTTGGCGACGGACCTCGTAATTTTGAACCATGGTCAAGTGACGAAGACGACGCCTCAGCTGGCACTCCCTCTCCTAATTACCACACCGCACCAACAACGAAGAAGAAAAGAAATTTAAAAAGTAACTAAAGACCAATTACAGTGATTCATGGGTCTTTTGAAATTAAAACACTTCATGTTTAAATTTTATAAACTAAAAAAATGAAAAGAAACAAATAAATTATAGATATAGGTGACTGACTTAATATGTACGTTGCTCGGTTTATAGAAAACTATTATCTATTATATTATTAATTATATACTAAACAAATTATAAGTATAATTATATGTAATATATAGTACAAGTAATCATACTAATAATAAATTAGGATTTTAATATATTATCTGAAGTTATTTATGTATATAAATTTCTTTGTACACAATTCTGTTAAATCATCCTATTTATTTTTTCATTTAGACAAGAAAAAGTCAGGCATACTTGTTTCATGTTGGTAATGAAACTATAAAAATGTCACCTTAAAACTGCTTTTGAGTTTGTTATGTTTTAGAATGTTTTTATTTGATTTTATGTAGTTTTTGAGTAAGAAAATATCTTCGAACTCGTAAATCAAGTTTTGTGACCTATAAAAAAGTTATGAGTAAGGTTTTTTAATGTATATATAATATTATTGCGTCACCTTATATCATTAAAGCTTAGTGTATACAGATTTTTTCGCGTTTCTGTTATCGGTTTCAGACGATAGTATTTTCAATTTACTTCTTCCTTCCTGGATTAAAAATAATATAGATGGTAAGACAAAATATTAAAAAAAAAAAACATTTTATCAATATAATAAATGAACAAAGTACCATATAAAAATGCGTCAACGTCTTAACATTTGATAGCCTGTCCGATTAGATGGTCAATGATTTGGAGAATTAACTAGAATCGTACAGCGAT